CAGAAAGTCCGAAGGCTTATAACACCAAAAACCGGGTTTCGATACCCGTGGTGGGCAAAATACAGACATCCCCTTATGTAGTTTTGTGTAACAACAAACAAACAACCCATAAACTTTTTTTGTGTGTGGTTGTTATTGAGTAACTGAGCTGATTTATTTTATATCAGACTAGCAGATGGTTCTGACGCTAAAAATCAGGTTTAGATATCCGCGCTGGCAGAGCATAGATAGATAAATATGTAACTTTGTTTTACATTTTATAATCATTTGTAACAACCCATAATTACATGGATGTGTGTTAAAGAACTTATACTAAATTACCCCCCCCCCCTTCTTTTTAAAATTAGGGTCATGTATCGAATGTGTGTGTTTATATATATATATATCAAACACAGTCACGCTATATCTTTGTTTAGGTGGGCTTGTGAATAGAAAAATTAGGTTTTGAAAACTTTTTACAATTATTCATATCTATAAAACATAACTCATCTGAACGTATATTTACAGAGATAGGTTTTCTGGCAAAGAGTGCATATAATAGTGGGTGGTCCGACGGTTAGCTGCCCCACACTTAAAATAATAAATCTGTGTGGATCACATTTGACTAGCGTCGTGAACCATGCCTATTTTTGTGTATTGTTCCCGTATACTTGTACATTAATATGAAATAGATTTAAGTTCAACACAGACTTTCGGACCTCCTTGTATTGCATCAACAAGCCTATCGACGTTATATATCGTCAGGTTCCACGTGACCAAGTCGTAACACGTAATTGCTTGATTGCACCAATTACCACGTAACTTCACAGAAACTCGCTCCAGAAAACCCAATTTTATAGGTAACAGCACCTTGCTGTTCACAACCGCAAGGTGAAAACCGAGGCGGCAGTTCGCCTAATTGGTGCTGTAAACGTACACCCCCCTCCCCTTCAAATCTTGTAGTATAAGAATAACATTTTGTATTAGTTTTACAGCCAGTTGACATATGGAAAATAGGCGCCAAATGCTCGGCCTCCTTGTCGCTTGCTGCTGTCAAAGGAAGCTCTTAGAATATGCCAGCGTATCTCGGGCGCGAACAGAATGACTTCGATAATTTCAACTTTCGCCAGTGTGTCAAAGAGTATCATTTTGTGATGTGACCACTGATGTTTGAGTAGTAAGGCCGGTACAACATTTGTGGTGTGTTCAGTTTCACCTACCGTTACCACTGGTATTACATTGAAAGTTACAGTAGTTAGTACAACAGTAACACAACCGAAACTTGTATTTTACAGAAGGTAAGGGAAAGTTACTTTACAGTAAAATTCTATATATAATTTTTTTTTCCTTTGTGAAGGTTCTCTTTTTAACCGCGGATGAGCGGCTCATAAAACGGCTTTGAGTTTTGTTTTCTTTCAAATACAAACTTTTAGCTCATAGCTCCGTCATCTCTTGACAGATTTGAGATCTAATTACAGTTTTCGACTCAAGGGATCAAACCCTTTCGATTGATGTATTTGACCACGTCCAAGGTCTCATAGATTAATTTATTCTAATCCTGCAGAAAATAATTTCAATTTGAGGGTGGGTTGGCAGAGATCGTGATGAGTAATAAAATCGAGTCGGGTACACGCGCGCCCCACGATTGGTATTGCTGGCACAAAAATATAGCTAATAATTTACTCCAAATCCTGACTAAAAGAATTTCAAGTTCTGCGGCTATTGAGGATTCCTTTTCTATATTAGTTATTCAATAAATAATTTTGTAATTTATTATTTTGTGACTTCATAATGTTTTAAGTCTCATATTTGTGTTATAGTATTTTAATTCTTATGTCAAGCAAGTTTAAAAGAACTCGAAATATAACTTCCTTTCTAGTTAGTTAAACTTTGATAAAGTCCAACATGTGTCGCATGTCTTAAGAGTTTAATACAAATTACTATGTAACGCAACGAGAAGGATCTTGTAATGTTTATTTAACAATAAATATTGTCATTGATTTCAATAGAAAGTTTGGTAACGACATGCTTTATGATCTTAGATAATTTTCTTGTGAATTACTGTGTGAAATTTTCTGTAATATTTTAGGCCCATAACTAGTAAACACATAATTATGTACATAAGTTTCCCTGCGTTTTATTTATTCATGCCAATATTACATTCTTCCCTGTCGAGCAACTCTTTGACAACTGACAGAAAGTTGGATCTTGTTGATTTGTTTTGTTCAACTACAGAAATACATGGGCAGGAAGTAGGTTGGCCCTCTGGTGTCATGTTTCTAAAATAATCATCTACGCAACATGTAAACATGTTTTGTCCATAATTATCTTAACAGAACTCTGAATGTTTAATGGTTTAAACAAAACCTGAAAACTTGTTAACCGCCAGCTGGAAGAGTTAATACATGAAAGTTCATGTAATCATACGGTTATTCCACATCTTGTCAAACTTTCCACAGACCGTCCACTGCTGTATGTAAACTTTGCTTTCAAACACCTCATTAAAGAATAAGAGTCTATTTTAGATGCTTTGTGAGATTTTACAGGCATGTGGCCATTGGGTTGGTTGTTGTTCAAATTTATTCTTCAGCATCACCATTTTCATGAAAGTAGCCATCGATTTGGTGATGTGGGTAGCAACGTGCGAACTTTTGTAAATCACCATCATCTTCAAATACGTGTTTAAACTTTTGCTGGTGTGTCAGTGGATATCTTGACTCTTATTTTGTGATGTGACCGCTGTTGTTGAGTGGTAAGCCTAATGGTGTAGTAAGTGTCAAGTTAGTGACTTTGTCAGTTTTAAGTTTTACTTACTTGGGTGGTTTTCAGTAGAGAATAAAACCAACATCCTGTAAGGTGTGGATTGAACATATGAAAGCTCAGTTATTAGGATAAAGCTTCAGATACAAGTACTATGACATACTCTAATGATACATACACTTGAAAACTTGTAACTTACTTGAACTGTGTGTAAATGTATTTTGTAATACTTTGTTCTGTAAAATCAAATAATGTTCCGTTTTTCTGCATCTTCAAAATGTTGCTTGATTTTTTTTTTTTTCTAGTACTGAAAAGGCTTTTCATAGTCTTTTTCACATGTTGCCTGCTCTGGTTATCTTTTCACATGTTGCCTGCTCTGGTTATCTTTTCACATGTTGCCTGCTCTGGTTATCTTTTTCACATGTTGCCTGCTCTGGTTATCTCTTCACATGTTGCCTGCTCTGGTTAGAGATTCATACATTTCTTTTTAACATCTACTCTGCAAGTCAGGGAGACATGTTTGTTGGGTCGGTTCACAAACAGTTTTCTGGTACTCTCATGTTTTTTAATTCTGAACAAAGATTTGAACTCCTTTCAATATCTGGAATCTGAATAGCCCACCAGTGTTGTTAATTTGCACTGTTTTTTCAGGGAATAATGTTATCCAGAATTCCACACAAAACATGGTAGTTGCTGCACATGTTACACAATATAAGATGTGGTTCCTCTGCTCTATAAAGCTCTTTTTTCTTTGTGGTTTTTGCAAGTTCTGTCAATATAGATGGCCATGTAAGGCTCATCACAGCTTACTCCAAGGTGGCTAAGTGTGGCACCTGCTTGAAGATAAACATTTCAACTATATTGTGCAAGAGTTACACAGTCTGGCCATCCCCCCTAAACTATACATCTTTGTGATGAAACAATTAAAAGATGAGTTCTTTTATCAGTAAAGTACAGTTTTCAGAGGTTAACTGATTGAACCCTTTATTGGAGTACATTTTTTTCAGTTCGAACTCGATTAGTGGTAACTGTTACACTGCTGTGGAGCCATTCTAATTCTTCAAATTTGGTTTTATTGGCTCACAGACTAGTTGTTAAAAAAAGTGTAAAAGTTAAGAATCTCCAATTTGGTATGTGAAAGTATCAACCATAGTGTATCTATCACTAAAATAGTGCAGATAACATGCATTGACAATTAAGTAATTTTGACCCAAGTATATTACTTTGCTTTCTTGACATTAATTTTGTCGATTGATGCAGTCAGTAGTGTTGGATTGGGCATTTAACTTTATAATTTGAAATTGATATATGGTCTGTAAGAAAAAAAAATGATCTGAGAATGAATAATTGCAATAATACACTTGTATTAAGTTCCACAGTACAGCAGATTAATCAATAATACACTTGTATTAAGTTCCACAGTACACTCACCTTATATTAATCATGGTTCCAACTACATCTACTTTCCATACAGAACAGTTTCTGTTTCTAACACTGTATTCCTTTACTTGAACTCGAAGCATGCATGGTACTAAAATATCAGTTGAGTAACTGACAGTCTACATGCACTTCCTGTGCTGACTGTTCAATTCTCATTAATGACAACTATTTTAATTTCTGATATTTACTTTCTTGTATTTTATCCAAACTCTTTCTTGATTTTCTATAAGGTTCTAGGGTAGGCTTAGCATTTTCCATAAAAAACCTACATTAATTAGTGTTTATATTAAAACACAACAACAAAAGCACTTACTCGCTAAACCTTCTACACATAAGAATAAGTCACCAGTAAGTGTTTGAACTGCATAACATCTAGACATTTTAAAATTTGCCAGGTTTGTACTAGTAAGAGGAATTTTCATGAATTAATAATTATTTAATGCAGAGGTAAATATTTGTCCAAAAACTACAGTTTTTTTCTCTACTCTCGGTGAATGCTTCTAAAATTATTCCCTTATTTTCCACTGTCTTTAACTGACGTACAACAACATCGTAGTTTCACCAACAAAACTCAATAGTCAGTACGTAACTGCTTTTCCATATTTTTTGTTTTTTCTTCTCTTTTCCTTCCAAATTTTTGCCTTTTTTTCTCTCCCAAAATTCTAGAAATTTCTGAATCTCAAAATTATTGTCATCCAATTTTTTTAAATATTTACACCTTATAGAGCAACTAGAAAATTCTGAAAGATACTTATTACACTACATATATTAATTTATTGTGAGGAAACTGTTCCATCATCTGTGTGTTTTCTTTTTAACAGATTGTGAAGTCAACAATGAAGGTTATGAAAAGACGATTAGCCTGCCCTCAAACTGTTCAGCACATCTGGGATGCTGTAGAATACATACGACAACAGAAGCAAATCCCAAATTTTAATAGAATATCTAGCTATATGAGTCGTAAATACAACCTGAAAGGTAGCGACCTGGAACGACAACTGAATTTTGCCGTTCAAGATAAGTTGGTAGTGATGAAGAAGAGCATAGGATGTAAGGGTTCTAAAGTTGGTGTGGAACAGCATGGTTATAAGTTACCTGATTGTCCATTGGTGAGTTTAACAAAAGATCCACCCAATCATATTTGTCATTCATTTTTAAGTGTATCTTCTTCATCACTGTCTGAAGAATAACGACTTCATCAACTCACTTAGAAGGATTTGTTATGTTAGTAATGTTATTAGCTCTCTTTGAAATATTGTCAATCAACAAGTAACTTCCAATCAGACAGGTATGTAACTGTACATTTTTTATAACCTTTAATTTGGAAAATTTAACAATTAAGATACTGCTTGATTTAAAAGAAAATCCAATTATAAATTTTTGTGAAAAATATTTTTGCTACACACACACATAAAGTTCCATAAACCACTTATTCCATCCACTCACCATTTAAAATTTTTATGTTCCTCCCGAGTTTCATGATCTAGCTCACCCACTATCTGCTCGGTTGTTCCAATATTTTAAACTTTAATTCAAATTGGAGATTTTGGTACATTATACTAAGAGGTATTTCACAGTGATAGAAAAACATAATATCTGTAAGCCTTGTCAATACATCATTTTATGATATCATGTTTAGAATTGCTCGAAATGTTTGTTACATGATAAAATAATGTCATGTTTTAAATAGTTCCTTTTATTTCTATCATAGTTACTTATTAGATATGATCAGTTATATAAGTCTTAAAGTAATAAATGAATCTAAAGAAAAAGATCTTTCAATACAAAGACAGTGATTCCTACTACAACTAAAGTAAATTTGTTCAATATTATTTAGATATTAATACATAACTCGTCTCTAAAGATTTTCAATTTAAATTATATCAGAGCTATGGTTGTGAGAAAATATGTTGAAGAAAGAGGGAGTGGTACGTATTTTCTGCCAGTAGCAGCATTAAGGTTAAAACTGTAGAAGAACTGATATCTTGAAAAGATAAATTTACCAGAGGCATTGAGGCTAACTATGTATGTTACATTCAAAAAGACAGCCATCTGCCAGTAGCAGCATTAAGGTTAAAACTGTAGAAGAACTGATATCTTGAAAAGATAAATTTACCAGAGGCATTGAAGCTAACTATGTATGTTACATTCAAAAAGACAGACAATTTTCTTGTTCTATCAGAAAATAAACTTTTTTTGGAAAATTTAAATTTTTCAATGGCCAAATGTAAGATCTGTAAGAATTATTTTTGTCTAGTTTGGTTTTGTTTACAGTGTTTACGTGTAAAATACATGTCTGTTGAGCTGCTGATAAAGTGAATTAGAAACATATACCGTAAAGTGAGTTATTCAGATTATTTTATTCTCTAAAGCTACAAAAATCTTGTATATAAAATTTGATTCAACAGTGTTTGACTTGAAAGCCCTTTGTTCATCACTTAGTATACGAGAGAGAGAGAGAGATATAAAGTAACATCAAACTATCTGCATCAACTTATAGTACAATTTGTCGGGAGTGTAAGTGTTTTAGGCCTACCATTATAGTTGGTGATGCATCAGTAAACATTTATTGGTTTCCATTGGTGGCTCCGTAGTAAACTTTTAAAACTAAACTTTGATGTCTAATACCCATGGTTGGCTCATCATAGATTCGCCATTGTGTGTAGCTTTGAGCATGATATATTTCCCCCTATTGTTTTTGTTTGCATAGTTTTAAATAAAAGCATCTAATTAATGGTTCATGTAATGTAGGTGAAAAACATTCTGATAAAAAATTACTTCATTTCTAAGAAATGAGTAAATGGTTGACAAAATGTAGTTAATAAAAAATATTATTATTATAATTGGTAAGTGCACATCCTGTGTGCCGTACTGTAGCTGGGAAAACTACATATTATATGTTAATTGGTAAGTGCACATCCTGTGTGCTGTACTGTAGCTGGGAAAACTACATATTATATGTTAATTG